GTGCTCTTCCGATCTAAGTACAATATATTTTATAATTTCTTTTGTCTCAATTTTTTGGATAGAAATTGATTATGACAAAAGTACATTTCAATATATATACCTTTAATATTCCACTTGATATTTTTCTATGATTGGCATATTCATATTTTGTAGAACTATTCTCAAACTGAACACATGAGGATGTCTGGCATGTACTGGGGCCTCACCGCTCTAGATTTAATGGGAAAGTTAGAACAAACTAATAAGGAAGAAGTGTTAGAATTTATTGGACAATGTCAATGTGACAGTGGTGGCATCAGTGCCAGTATACAACACGATCCACATTTACTTTACACTCTTAGTGCGGTTCAAATCTTGTGTATGTATGATGCACTGGATGTAATAAATGTCGATAAAGTTGTGAATTATGTCAAAGAAAGACAACAAGCAGATGGAAGTTTTGTGGGTGACCAGTGGGGTGAAGTGGATGTCAGATTTTCTTTCTGTGCCGTCGCTACTCTGTCACTCTTGGTAAATATCATTGAGAAATGATTTCTTGGTAAACATATTTGAGCATCCACAAAGTCAAAGCCATTTAAAATAGTGATGTCATTTATTTTTAAATAAAAATTATGTGATATAAAATTTATTCTTGAAATCAAATGGATATCTTAGAAACTTCACTTTCATGAAAATTCTTTAACCTTATATAGTGGATTTAAAGATAATCTTTGTCGAAACCATAAAACACTTAGTCAAAATAAATTCTTGAAAATTTTGCTTACAAATGGAAAAGGTACTTGTGAAAAAAAGTTCAAGTAATTCTCATATTATATTATAACTTGTTTCAGAATCGCTTAGATGCGATAGATGTTGAGAGAGCGGTACAATTTGTATTGAAATGTATGAATTTTGATGGAGGATTCGGTTCAAAACCAGGATCTGAGAGTCACGCAGGTTTAATTTATTGTTGCGTTGGATTGCTTTCGATCACAGGTATATACAAAGAACATACAGAACGTGCAGAATATAACATTGTACAGATTATACTATTGGATGTCACTTTTCAAGATATTTTTCAGGGCACTTGCATCTGATAGATGCTGATCGCTTAGGATGGTGGTTATGCGAGAGACAACTACCTTCCGGCGGTTTAAATGGCAGACCTGAAAAGTTACCAGATGTATGCTACTCTTGGTGGGTGCTGTCGGCGCTAACAATTTTAGGTCGTCTTCATTGGATCGATAAAAAAGGCTTGGTAATTATTGTTGTATAACACTTTATGGGATTTATTTAACCATTTTCATCTCTTAAAATTGTTTATTTATTGCTTTATTTTCTTAATCGACCAATAATTCAAATGAAATAAATGCAAATATTACCACTGTAATATAATTTCTTTTTTTCCATTTTTTATTACAGGTGGATTACATTTTAGTTTGTCAAGATGTCGAAACTGGTGGTTTCAGTGATCGGCCTGGTGATATGGTTGATCCTTTTCATACTTTGTTCGGCCTCACTGCGTTGTCGTTGTTAGACAAGAATTTTTCGTTAAAACCAATAAATCCTACTTATTGCATGCCAGAATATATAATCGATCGCTTAGGTCTTAAGCCATTGCGACTCGACGCATGATTGTATATCTGATATGCTTTACAATGTACATTAATTCATTGTTAATATACGGTTGTAGATTTTCCACAAGTGTATTTCTGAATTTTTATTCGATAATTTCAAGTATTCTAACTGCAGTTCTAATTGTAAAATATTTCTATTATTTATTTACATTGCTATTTTGTAGAGCAAAACTCCACAAGCTCAGTGCGTTCTCAAATAAATACGCGACTAAATATATAAATGTAGAGTTTTATTACATATTTTGTCACCGACGAGTGTCTCGTCGCGGTGATTTTGTCGATAAATTACCTAAATATTTTTGTCATCATATGCTAAAATAGTAACTGTTAAATTTCAGTTCATTTCTAACAGGTGTCGCTGGCTTCACTTGCAGCTGACGTAGCTTTGTGTATGTATTTTTTGTATCAGTGAAAAGATAA